GAACCTTGTCAGAATCACTGCACTAACCATCATTTGGGCTTTAATGTGCATTTTACACTCTCTATATAAACACCACCCTCTTTACAGTTTATCTTACAGCTATAATAGGGTAGCTAAAAATTGCAGTAGTGAAGGTTCCATTGCATTTCACATTCTACTCTTTGATGTTGAATTCCAATCTCCTTTTTAGCCATACATTTCATATGCTTCCCCCCAAAAACTATGAAACAAAAAAAGATAAATGAGAGGGCTTACAAAATAAGAAAACAGTAATACAATCCTATGCGCACGCACACACACACACACACATTTTTAAAAAGGCTAAATATTCACCAAAGGCTAAATTACCTGATTTATTTTCATAAGTGTTAATATTAACACTGTTATACTACATTGTCTATATTTATCACTTTACTAATAAGTTCAAATGACTGTTTTCAAAGTCTATTACACAATTGTTTTGATTTGGGCTTATAAGTATCATTGCGTTTACTTTCAAGAATCCTTCCATTGCATCCTTCTACAAATATAGGTATGCCTATACACAGTCATGAAAAAGTTTAATTTGTGTTCTAAAGTCTCCATGAAAGCTGGACTCAATTTCAAAAGACTAAGAAATCATCATATTCACATACTTACTACCACACTATCAATTTCACATACTAACATTCAAATGGAAGACCAAATTAGCCTCTTAAGATTTCTTCCCCATCTTAAATTAAACCTATGTACACATAATTGTACTGCCTCATGTTCAACCTTTGAGACAATCTCCCTATGCTTTCTACTTTCCTGCCCCCATCCCAACCAAAATTTTGATTGTAGGCTCATCAGGGTAGGAACTTGCCTTTTGTTTACATTACCCTGTGAAATAATATGTACAATAATGACACTCCATAAACAACAACTGAGGACAGAGCTCAAGGTCTGTTTGCTTTCTCCACTGCATTTTGTATAGCAGTAGTATTTCCTCACCGTTTACTAAGAAGCTGCCTAGCTGTTGGGAGTTAAAATAGCATTATTACATATATTTGATCAATGTATTAGGGAAGAATATAAATCAAGGATTCACTTATTTTTAAGATACTTGTATTGTAGTTCCTTCAAAGTATGACCGTCATGATTCAAAACATCCTGCCTCTCCCCTCTTTCTGAATTAAACACATATGACCATATCATAATGTCACCCACCAAATACAAGACTAAACAAGCATAATTTGTTGTTTTCTGTCTCTGCCAGGAACTCTGAGGTGTTACTGTACAGCTACCTCAGAATACTAGTTCCCTAGCCACTTTCACTGTTCCCAACCTCTGACTAAGTAATGAATATTTTTTTATACAACAGTGCAAGAATATGCTGTACTATAAAATAATATTGAGGAGGACACTTCAAAAACATACTAGAGAATGTCAGGAAATAACCATAAGATACTTCTACATCTGTCTCAAAAGCGTTGCTGCCACTTCAGGTCATTTCCTAAGGTGTGAGGAAAAAGGGCTCTCATCTACATTCTCGACAGCATATGCACAAATAAATAATAAATACTGATGTACAACTGAGCATATATCTACCTGGATTCTATTTTCAACACGCATGCAATATTTTCATACTGTTTTGTATGTCAGTAGGTCTACACAATGATGTATTATGTATTGCTAGTAGGGTTTCAAGCAGAGTTTTTCTCCCCCCACTAATGCAGTACCTTCTCTAACAGTGCTGAGATATAAAGGTATTTACTCCATCAAAGATTGTGTGATGCAGATATCATTACAGGATCTGATTAGATCATGGTATTCTAATAGAGATCAAATAGTAGTTTTCCTTCTTCTTTCCAGTGCCTTCAAATTATCCCTTTCCTCTACGCTATCAAAGAATTGTAATTTTAAAGGTCTGATCTAGGGATTCCCATGTACGTATAGAAAGAAAGAAAGAAAGAAAGAAAGAAAGAAAGAAAGAAAGAAAGAAAGAAAGAAAGAAAGAAAGAAAGAAAGAAAGAAAGAAAGAAAGAAATGTAATTTTTTTTAATTTTATTTTGTTTGCTTTGTGCAGGTTTTTCTGAAACAGTGACCAAAAAGATCTACTTCAGATTTGGAAACTCAGCTTTAAAGGAAAAGCTAGACAACAAAAAGCAGAGAAGTACTCACCTCTTCACGTAATTTTATCAACTGCAACATGAACGCACAAAAAAAGATAAAAAGGAAAGAAATGGCAGGAAAGAAAGATCAGTTGTGTGACAGGATACAGAATTAACATTGACAATTTATCTGTTTACATGTTTAGCATTTAAAAATCACAGACAAACACATTAAAAGAACCTAAACATAGACTACATGCAGAGTTTTTTGAACGAATAAAGATCACTTTCTCACACTGTCACATTAAACAAAGAGAATAGTGTGAAATTCTCTTTTAAACCACATCTAAGACACCATCATGAAATAAAGGGAATGACTTCATAGAAGTCTATAATATAAAGGGGAAAAACAAGTTTACTATTCCTCTCTTCTAAGATAGTACAGCTGAAGTGATTTTGTATATACAAGTTTTCAGGATGTTTTGTATTTTTTTTAGTTCTGACACCTGCCTTTTTATTTGTTAAACAGAATAATCTTATTAAATACATCAGAGTAACTACAAAAGATGGCCATTGGGCACTGGTTATATTGTTTTTATAACAAAACTGGAAGCTTCATTTTAACTCAACTGCTACTATTTTTTCCGTCAAGCCTATGCAATTTAGTATAGTGAAATTCCAGTGTGTTTCTTAATTAAAAATAAATGGACAACAAAACAAAATGTTTACTTCAGGTTTGCCGAACAAACACATTTTGACTATATTTTCTGAATTATTATACTTACTTCCCCAAAAGTCCTGCAAGATGCTGCTGTTTTACTAACTTTAAAGTAGGACTCATTTGTCAGTTATACTAGCTAAAATGATAGTTACAGGAAGGAGCAAAGATTATTTTGACAATTAAAGGGCAACTTTGGTTAGTCACTGACAATTATGTACTTCTTTAGAAACTTGTTTTTAAACCTGGATATACAGTTGAAGATATTTTATAGATATGAAGTCTCCAATTAAAATGGTAATAGTACTGTCAATTTGCTTATGATTACACAAAATTAAAGAACATAGTACTACCAAACAATCATGAGATGTTTCACTTAATAAGCAGGAAGGAAGCTGCTGATGTTTTTATAAAAGAATCTTTTTCAAGGTTTCAGTATCAAGAAAACATACATCTCCAAAACCACCCTTAACCCACCTGTTTGTAAATTTCTTTCTTGCTCCCCCCTTTCTTCTCCAAAGACAAACATCTGTTTAAAACAGATGACCTAAGTGTTGATCGCATCACTATCTTCCCCCCACCCCAAGGTCACCATTCCTCAGCTGGCTATGATACTTTAAGGGCCAAAGTTTAAAACTACTTTCCTGCAATGGAGACCATTTGGGGCATGACACTCTACTATAGTCAATGAGAGTTTTAAAACGCTCCACATTTGTTTTTTCAATAGGTCCCAAACAAAAAATGTTCTATCTTGTTTGTGCTGCATGGCTGAATTTAAGCTCTGCAAAGGATTTGCAACCAAGCTAAGTAATGGGAGATTTTCTTTTTTTAAATAATGGCTGAAAGATATTCATTCAAATTAACAAAAGATTTCCCCCCATTTAACAATGATGGCACTTGATGAAATTCTACGACAGCTATTTTAAAAATTTTACTATATAAAGCTTGCCAAATGAAGGCAAGCAACATTAAAATGTGTGTAGCCACCGCTTTACGTTATGATAATCAGCATATTTTTGAAACAAAGATTCTTCTTTTTTTCCAGTTTGATACAAGCAGTAATCTGTTCCTTTGTAGACTAAAAAAAAATCTGGTTTACGCTGGTTTGAACCAGTGGAATCTCTTGTGGCTAAGCCTTCTGCTGTGAGTAGAATCAAAACTGCAACACAGAGTGTGCACGTCTGTGAGGCATGTCACGTGACATGGAAAACTACCGAATTTCCCCCCAAGAAGCTGATAACGCCACTGCCGTCTCTGCCCGCATACAGATAACGAATAAATGCTGAACTCTATTAAACGCCCTTTACACATTATCGTGGGTCGAACACACAATTTTCTGAACTTGTGATGACTGTCTATTTATTTTGCTATAAACTCTCGGCATGTAACGAACAGATTTGTGACTGGTAATGATCTGCTCTGCCAGGGCTATATGAAGTGATACCGACCTTCTTTAGATCTTGGGGAATTAAATTGACCAACTTCACCCCCTGGTCAGTTTCTGGAGTTTTAACACACTTTATGCACAGCAATTCCAAATCTCACATTATCAGAACTTGGTTGTCAAAAATTATGCAACCATATCACCAAAAATATTTTTCAATGGTAACTTATATGCTTGCCTTGGCTTACTTTGTACTTGAGACATTCACACAGGTAACTGATTACCAAGAATTATTTCAGATTATCCTAACAAATCTAGTTTGGGAAAGGTAACAGAATTTTATAACAAATGATAGGATTTGTAAACAGCTAAATGTCCATACAGTTTTGTTTGTGCATTTGTTTTTTTGGCAAGTGAACCACTTCTAACTAACACCGTATTAGCTTTCTTTTCTGAAGTACATAACCCAAACCCTCTAAATTACAAATGAAAATGCAGGAATAACTAAATATTGAATCACTTCAGTGAAGAGCTTGGGCATCAAAACAGAAGAGTACTGCTTAAAATACTATATTTGCACATTCACAGACTATTTTATACAAACACACACACACCCAAATTTTACCCTGTGCTGTGTAAAGGGCACCTTTAAATAGTTTAAATTTTCTAAATAAATAAATGCGCGGGGGGGGGGAGAGATAACCCAACTAAGAGCAGCCAGGAAAATAAATAAATAAATATATATTCCAATGAAATCCACAACTATCTACCCCAACCAAAAGGCTTTTATTTTAAATAGAACATTGCAACTTAAGTTAAGGGGGAACAGCAGTTTTTACAAACATTAACATACCTATCATATATTAGTCATTGCCTTGAGGTAGTCATTAAAACATGAAAATCATCTTGGACAACATTGTTAACAGGACACAACTGTGGGTTTTTTCACATCAAGAATAGCTGCACACAGAATTTCAAACATTTCATAATAATGATTGTTCAGCTAAGCTGTCCGTGGCAAACTACTCAAGAGCAAATCCTGTGTACCTATTTACTTTAACAAGGTTCTGCCATTATACTTCTGAAACACAACTGGGCACAGAAAAACCATACAAGTAACTGATTCCTGGAAGATATGTACTAGCACATATTACACGCAAAAATCATATTGTCTTGCTATTCTCAAAAAAAAAATTCATCTAGAATTGTTTTTGAAGTTCCCAGTTCTCTTGACAAAGCCTCTCCTCAGATATCTATCAGCCTCTGTAAAGTAGTCAATACTCCTCATTTGCCCAAACCCTAAACAGCTGTTTCTTTGTTTTTCTGGTGCAGCACTTACTTTTCAGTGACTGGACAACATTTTCAGGGATTTTGTACTGATTTATGTTACATTTTTGAATTAGAGTAGTGGTCAAACTATTGTTCATTTCTGAACTTTAACACTTAAAAACAAAACAAAATTTGAGTCCAGTGGCACTTTTAAGGCCAACATAGTTTTATTCAAGGTATAAGCTTCCATGTGCATGCACACTTCCTCAGATACAATGAAATGGAAGTTACCAGTCGAGGATGAACAGTAAATACAAAATAATGAAGATGCTTAACAGATTCAAGGATCAAACAGGAATAACAAGCTTAGTTTGTATGGTTATCATTTGTTTGGATTTAATTCTGGGGGAGAACATAGTGAAGGAAATAAATATGTCAAATTGAAGACTGATGGGCAGATGTATCCTTAATTGTGAAATGCTGAGAGTAATTAACTGAAGACCCTGCCATTACTCTCCATCTGTCTCCTTACAGTATCTTCTTCTTTGAAGTGGGGCGACTGGTTGTGTAGAGTTATCTCCCCTGTACCCAGACCAGAGAAATGCATTCCAATCTACCATTCCAAATTACGTTACATTCTACTACATATTACATTACATTACAATCTACTATTTTAATTTACTATTCCAAGTAAGAAATAAAATAAAATGTCCCTTCTGGGGGATTGGTGAGAATACAGATCATAGAAGCATAGAATTGGAAGGGATCTCCAGGATCATCCAGCCCAACCCCTGCACAATGCAGGAAATGCACAAATACCTCCGCCCACACCCCCAGTGACCCCTGCTCCATGCCCAGAAGACGGCAAACCCCCCCACAACCTCCAGGATCCCTGGCCAAACTGGCCTGGAGAAAAATTGCTTCCTGACCCCAAAATGGTGATCCGCACTTCCCTGGGCATGTAAGAAAGAGCTACAAGAACTAAGCACTGAGGCAACCCTTCCTGCCCTCCCTCTCATGATATGCCTAAATTCACAGAAGCAGCATTGCTGTCAGATGGCCATCTAGCCTCTGTTTAAAAACCTCCAAAGAAGGAGAGCTCAAAACCTCCCAAGGAAGTCTGTTCCACTGAGGAACACCGCTCTGTCAGGAAGTTATTCCTAATGTTTAGCCGAAAACTCTTTGGATTTAATTTCAACCCGTTAGTTCTGGTCCGACCTTCTGAGGCAACAGAAAACAACTCCACACCATCCTCTTTATGACAGCCTATCAAATACTTGAAGATGGTTATCATATCACCTCTCATCTCCAAGCTCCTTCAACCTTTCCTCATAGGATTTGGTCTCCAGACCCATCACCATCTTTGTTGCTCTCCTCTGGACACATTGCAGCTTGTCTATATCCTTCTTAAATTGTGGTGCCCAAAACTGAACTCTAGGTGAGGTCTAACCAGAGTGGAGTAAAGTGATATCATCACTTTGTGTGATCTGGACACTATACTTCTATTAATACAGCCCAAAATTGCATCTGCCTTTTTAGCTACCACATCACATTGCTGACTCATCTCCAAGGTATACGCTTTCATGTGCATGCACACTTCTTCAGATACGATGAAATCAAAGTTACCAGTCCATACATATAGGTAGATGGTGAGCAGTATATTAGCATACAACATAATCCTCAAGATTTAACAGGAATATTGGTTTTTTATTTTACTACATATGCTAACCTCATTGAGTCCTTACATCTGTATTCTCACTAATCTTCCAGAAGGGACACAAAGCCTCTTTATTTTATTTTATTTCTTACTTGGAATAGTAGATTAAAATAGTAGAGTGTAGTGTAATGTAATGTAATTTGGAATGGTAATGCATTTCTCTGGTCTGGGGATAGGAAAGATAACTCTGCACAGCCAACTGCCCCGCTTCAAAGAAGAAGATCCTGTAAGGTCGCCTCCATGCTTGAAAGGAGACAGATGGAGAGTAATGGCAGGGTCTCACTTAATTACTCTCAGCATTCCACAATTAAGGATACATCTGCTCATCAATCTCCAATTTTGACATATTTATTTCCTTCACTAAGTTCTCCCCTGGAATTAAATCCAAACAAATGGTAACCATACAAACTAAGCTAGTTATTCCTGTCTGGTTCTTGCATCTGTTAAACAACTTCATTATGCTGTATGCTAATTTACTGTTCACCTCTACCTATGTGTATGGACTGGTAACTTCCATTTCATTGTGTCTGAGGAAGTGTGCATGCACACGGAAGTTTATACCTTGAATAGAACTATGTTGGTCTTAAAGGTGCCACTGGACTCAAATTTTGTTCTGCTCCTTCAGATCAATGGCTACCACCTAAAATTAAAAAACAAAGTTTGCCATACAACAAAGTTTCTTCATGTTAATTTCAAAGCATCATTCAAAGAATTCCTTTCTTCTCTCATTGGCACTAATATTCTAAACATATTGCTGGCAACTAAGAGTATCAAATCAGTTATAAGAAGTAAAATTGGTAAATTCTTAAAGTACTTTTAAAAATAATAAATTCTGTTTTCACCTATGAATTATCATAACTTTCCTTTCAACGCTGAAGTCACAGATATTCCCTTTGTTATCTAAAAATGAACAAAATAATTTGAATTCAGAAATCTAAATCTGCTTTTTAGAGCTGAAATTTATCAATGGTATCTGACTGCATAATGTTTTCCTTGAAACAAATGACCCCTCTTTTAAGATGAAAACTTTTCAAACTTCTGTAAAGCAAGAAAATCCCTCAATTAAATATGCATCGTAACATTATAGGACATTACACAAAGGACACAATTCATCCACAGCTACATAATTTCAAATCTCGCAGATTTCAATAGAAGAGTTAAGCAGAACTGTCATTAAAATGAATGGGAATGCTTTGGCTGGAATCTGTCCTTGGAGTATAGTCTCATTTTAACATGGAATACAATTTATGACACAAACACACCCATGCAGGCACACACACATCACTTTATAACAAGGATCTAATGCCTTACAAATACAACAGTGAATCATTTTTTAAAAAATCAGGAAATATGGAATATACCAAATAAATTAAGTAATAAACTTCTTTGTAAATAATAGAGATTTATTTATACCCTTAATTTCACTTATTTTATTAAGTCAAACCGGAATTATTTCCCATTATATAACTTTCATTCAGGAATAAAGGTGGCATAGCGATAAGTGTTTAAAAAGGCAACTTTAAATATCTGCATGGATGGCTATAAAGTTTTGAAAACACTGTTTCTCTAATAATTGTACAAAAAACCCTCTACTGTAATTGGTTACCATGCACTGATTAATCAGCAAATTAATCAGCACACATATAGTTCCTGAACATTCCTTTAAGACACTAATAAAAATCTGTGTCCGTTACATTGCATACTTTTTAAAATAATTTGTATTTTTTATACAAGGGTGGAAAAACTGGCTTCGAGAAGACAACCCACATGGAAACATAGAGCAACTGTCAGATTCTGAAGGCTCATTTTCATTTGTTTTGCCTGCCAGTGTTGATTTAATTATATTTCATTCTGATCAAAGCTACATTATGTAACTTTTTTATTCCTTTTACAAGTATTTGAGGTGAAGACCTTGGTTTTGTCGGCAAACACAGTGTTTCAAGTTATTCCTTAAGTTCCAAATAATAAAGAAAAAGAGAAGAAAAGATTTTTTTAAAAGATAGCAGACAGTGATCACAAGGTAAAGGGTTAAATTGTAAGATCTCCAAGAAACATTTTGAAGTTGATTAAGACCCCAGCTTTGCATTAAACAGTATCACTTCCACATGAGTTGTTACTAATGCTGTTAAGGAGCAGCTTGAGAAGCCCAGTGTGCCAATGACCTCCTTCACCCTCCAGCCACCCACTAGGGCTTCTTGATTAGCATCCTACCTGGATCTCCGAGGAATTCCCATCATCCCCTAGGAGCTCATTCCGCACCTCGTCACTGTAGGCAATCCGTGACCTTTTCTGTAAAACAAAAAGAAGGGGGGGAAAGTGTGAGCAAGCAAAGCTCCGGAGCCATCACTATCAAGGCTGATCATCTTAAAACCTCGAGAGCCCTCTAATGGATACCTATTTGATTTTTTAAAAACCTCTAAAGACAGTTATTACTGAGTCCTTTATCTATAAGATGTATAATATGATGAAGGAATTATCAAAACTTTTAGCAGAATTGCTAAATTACATCCTTCAGCCAAAATTAGCCTAGCAAACCACAGCTTATACAAGAGATGCTTCTACTAAGTTCAATGGAGACTACCCCAAAATCTTGATTATCTGATTTCTCTGAGTCCCCTCCCAAGTCCCATGTCATTTTACAGAATCCTAATTCTCTTTAACCCAATATCTGATTATATGAACCTTTTATATCCCTACCAAGCCATGGAGATAAGTGAGTTTATATCATATAAAATACAATTAAATTTCCACACATAGGAATTGCCATTCAATTTTTGTAGTTGCATACACAGAGTGGAATTGGAAATGTCAAAACAACAAAACAATCAGACAAAGAA